CGGGCAAGTGACGGTTCTTGGGTCGTATTTTTATTGTGTGCCAAGTCCCGGGTGGCATCGTTGAAAACAGTTAGCCTACCGCGTTTAGAATTGTGCGGTGCAGTTTTATTGGCTAGGCTAATTGCGAGGANGATACACAAATGGTAGGCCCCCCCACACAGGATGAGCTGTTTGACATTCTGCTGCGATTTCGTATACATGGCATTGTTGTGTCCGCGGATGTTGCTAAATTGTATCGGCAGATCGCGGTTAGAGGGGAAGACCGAAGCTACCAAGACATCCTGTGGCGTTTTTCGGAACACGATGCAATAGGGGGGTACAGCCTCAACACCATCACCTACGGCACTNGAAAACATTTATCGCGAATAGGGTCGCCGAAGTGCAAACGTTGACTGAAATCACCAGTTGGGGGCATGTCATCTCGTCGGACAACCCTGCGGATCTTTTGTCACGCGGTGCGAGTCCCACGGTTCTGAAAGGCAATAAGTTGTGGTGGCACGGCCCCGACTGGTTGATATCAGAGGAACGAGATTGGCCCCGTAGGGAGGTCAAGATATCCACCGTAGAAGTACCAGAAGCGCGATTGGTTCAGTTAGTTAAATTGACAACCTCGGTGAGCCCGGAGCAACCAGTCTCGAAACTGATTGAAGGGCAGTCATGCTACAGCAAATTGCTACGAATCCTAGCATGCGTTCTTAGATTTTGTCTTTAGATTTTGGATAAGGCTTCGCGAAGCAAGTGTCAGGGTTCCCCGTCAGTCACGGAACTTTCTTCAGCCGAACGAATTGTAATCAGGGTCACGCAAAATCATCACTTTAGCGCCGAAATGAGGCAGCTAGGAGCTAGGCAGCCGTTAGATCGAACAAGCTCGTTATTGTCCCTAAACCCCTTCGTGGACGAACTCGGGATCATTAGGGTGGGCGGCCGCCTGCGGAATGCTCCGATAGCCTTCTCGCGAAAACATCCGATCTTAATACCAAGTTCCAGTCCTCTGGCAGTCCTGATAATTCGGCGCGAGCATCTCCGATTGTTGCATGCCGGTTGCCAACAAACTCTCGCATCTCTTCACGCGAACTACTGGATTCCATCAGGCGGACGAATCACGCGGAAGGTTGTGCGTAGTTGCATGAGATGCTTCCTGGCGCCGCGCAACCCCAAATGGGTAACTTACCAGCCGATCGCGTTACTACTGCCCGGGCTTTTTCTACGTGCGGCGTGGACTATGCCGGCCTGTTT